AAAAAAAAAAAAAAAAAAAAAAAAAAAAAAAAAAAGAAGCCTTTAAGAAAACCACCAGAATTGACTTGATTTTGGCCCATGGGAAATGTGCTTATTAATGGAGATTGCTTATCACTAACTTAAATGATTTAAAAGGGGTTTTTCAAACCTTTTTTTAGTAACAAAAAACTCTCTTCAAATGAAATTCTACAAGTTTAGACAGATAAAGATACCCCGCTTCTAGCTGGGCTTGGTGTGGTGCACTAGAAAGCTCTACTGCTCATCTCTAACTCTTCCCTCAAGATGGCTTCTGAAACGATGTTACAGAACCCCTATGTCTTCACAAAGCAGAGTCTGAAAACACTGTCCTAAATAATTCTTCGGAGGAAATCAATGGCTATCTCCTTCTGAAGAAAGAAGTCATTTGACTCCTGCAGTGGCTGGACTGTAAGAGAATTAAAAGCTCATAAAGTTAACTAAAGGCATTTTAGTGACTCCATTTAGGTCAACAGTGTGATAAATTCAGATACCTGTGGTAAGTGGCAGAATGAGGCCAAGTGCCAGGAAAACCTTTCTGATGGAAGAAGAAAGAGTCACAGGAACTCCTGATGGATAGCCTGGAAAAATCTTGTTTTTTCAACCTTAGGTCAAATCTTTTGGATCATAAAAGTAGTTCTTCCCATCAGAATGAAGATTTAGGAGAGATGAAAAGAACACAGCACCAAGTGACAATTAAGAATGCTTAAGTGACAAAGAAGCACTTCTTCCCAAGTCAAAAATAACCAGGTCATTTTCTGCCATATTTACTGTCACTATTCATGTGTTTATCGTAAGCAATTCTAATCAGGGACATTCTGCTGAAAGCATGCCATAAGAACTATCCTTTTAGCAAAACTCATTAGTCTATCTACTAACGAGGTCAGTTATCAACATGTTTATGTGAAGATTTAACTGGGTCACCTGCCTTCTTTCTTTCCGTGGGAGAATCCCCCTGGAAATCAAAAGAATTGGATCACAGTCCAGCTGCTATAACTCCTCCCACAAAGAGTTATAAAGATTTTGCCTGGACCATTAAAAAAGTTATGTTTTAATCCCTATTAGGATATGTTTTTATAACTATTTCTTGCATTAATCAGCTTGTGGTGGGAAAGAGAAGTCTTAGATTCTCCTAACTACCTGAAAAAATGAATGAATGAGAAAATGAATGATTTAATCTGATGTAGCCATTTCAAAAGCATGTTTTCAAAGACTATTTAATAATTAAAATGTTCACAATAAATTAAGTGAAAAAAAGATAACAATTTGTATCACTATGATTACTATTACTGTAAATACTATAGGCAGCCAAATGTAGTAAGACAGTATAATAATAGTTTTCTTTCAATGGGTGGCTCATTTTCTTCTTTACATTTCTTTGTGTTTTCCAAATGTTTTTTGAGACTTTCATTAGAAAAAGTTATTAGAAAAATACCTTGAGTTTAAAAACTTATGTGTTGCTTATTTTATAAAATATGCCTTCTTGTCTTCACACCACATCCTCAACTTTAATAAAGTTAGGTGTCCCTCCTCTTGTTCCCTCTGCACCCTAAATATTCTATTATAGTCCTTAACACATTTTATGATAATTGCCCTGAGGACCAAGAGAATAAGGATAATTTCCTACATATTTTAGAACCTGAGGACCAAGAGAATAAGGATAATTTCCTACATATTTTAGAACCTGCAGTGCTTAGTATAGTTCCCAATACAAAGTAGATACTTAATAAATGAATAAATAAATGCTGATAAAATCTTATTTTCAAGATTGTATTCATAGTGTCATTTCCACTTGTGACATTTTTATTAATGAAAACGTAATAGTTGAAAACTATAGCTTCAGATGTCTCAACCTTTTACAATTTCATTTAATATGGAATATTTTGTCAGTAAACTCTTCTTAAAAAGAATTGTGCACTTTACCCTAATTACAGATTTTTAATTTCTGAACTTCTAGCTCCTGCCACCTAACTTAAACAAAAAAAAAAAAAGAAGAAGAAGAAGAAAGAGGAGGAAGAATAGAATTGTTATTATTGTTAGTAGTAGTAGTAGTGGTATAATAGTAGTTTGCTTTTGTTTTCTGGATTCCAAACATGACTGTGGAGTATACTAACATTTATAAAGCAAATGTACTTCAAAGGGCCTAGTTTCCAAAGCCCTGTAGTTTCAGGTATAACCTAACTTTTAAAAATTACATATAGAAATGTTAAGTTTGCAAAAGACAGGAAACTTTCCCCAGGCTAAAGTCTCTGTTGTGGATACAGAAATATAACACGGCAAAGTTGCTGGCTTTCAAGGACGTCTGTCAGATGTCCTTGAGAGCATGTTAAACTATTGATTGATATGTTTAAAAAAGTTGCTTTATTGTTATGTAAAATACTGAGGAAACTTCTGTAGGAAAACACAGTATTTGCTAAGAACAAGCTTTTGTTGGTGGATTGACTTAACCTTTTGCAAACTGCATTATGGAAAGTCACTTTGATATTTCACTGATGTTACCAGCTTCTATTGTTAAACTATACTTAACCATAACTCCACCTATGTTCTTTTTCTGTAACTTTCTGGCCTAGAGAATAAATATTGAGACAGAATCCCAGCTCAGTGTTAATTTCCCAAAGGAGGAATGCCTCTCTCTTGAGGGTTCTGGGAAGTTAACCCCTTTGGGGTGTCTCACTGCTCAAAAGAGATGGGCTTTGAGTAATCCTTTTTGCATCTCCATTACCCCGTGTGAGGCAAAGCAACATATGACTAAGCATATAAAGACATTATGCGAAGCTAACTGAATTATTTAAACTTTAAAAAGAAAATCTATACATAGTTGAAACAGTGGTGAAAATCTCTAATTCTGAAAGAACCATATATTCACCACAGTCAAGTGGGATTTTTCACTAACCTCCCTCCTCCTCCCCGTTTCCCACTTCCATTGGCCTCAGTTCTGTTCTATCCTTTTGAAACCTCAATGAATTATTGTGAATGTTGTATCTTTCTTTTTTTATTTGTTTTATTTTTTAGCTCCCACTTAATGAGTGAGAACATGCGGTATACTGCACACAGGTATTGATATTCAATGCTGTACCTCACAGATATATACAATCAATTATGTTTCAATAAAAAATTTAAATTTTTTTTTTAAAAAAGGACAGCAAGTGATAATGTTAGCTCTCTTGCTCAGCCATCTCTCACCATGTGATGCCCTGCATTGCTGTAGAGAGTCATTATCAAGAAAAAGGTACTCTCCATCTCTTTTAGAACCAGAATAATGAAGCCCCCAAATGCCTCTGTTTTGAAGGGGACCAAATACCTCTCGGTGGCCAGGCCCCTCTGGAGAATTCTTAGAGAGGAGATAAATTCTGACAAATAGCTACAACTTCCTAGGTGGTGGGTTCTTCCAGAATATTACCAAAACTTGCATCTTTGGTCCAAAACTACTCTTACAGGGGGACTGCTCAGATTCTGGTAAAAGAAAAATTAGGGTGATTAACCCCAGGATTGGATAGTCCTAGAAAGCAAACAACTATGACCAACTATGACCAACTATTCTTAACTTCATAGTTAAGAATGGTCTTAAAATAATGTGCGCCCTTTAAAAGATGGTGAATAGATATACTACATTTCATTAGGCAGCTGGCATTACAGCATGAGAGCTAAAAGTGAAGAGGTTGGGAATTTTCTGAGTGTAGCCTTTAGAGGAATAATTGCTGACACCTACACAGGAAGCCCTCTGTTTGGGGTTTGACATGTTTTGTCACACCTATTTAAAATATATTAGGAACCAAAATACACACTTATATTAATAGTCCTCACCTTAAGAGCTCTACCTGTAGAACAGGCAAATTCCTCCTTTGACTTATTCTATAGGCCGCCTTCTGAGAATCAGAAGAAAACAACCAACTTCGATCATTTGAACATGGAGCATCAACTAATACCTAGAGAAAAAAAGAACAAATGATGCAAATATGCCCTGAAAATATATTCTCAGGCACAAAGCATATAGGAAGCTATGTAAAACATGACAAATAAATAGAAAATAAATTTTAAACATTTCTTTTGAAACAAAAATACAACATGGTAAGTTCTTCTTCATGACATTTCCTCACTAATACTTATCAGAAAATTTTCCTATGTACTAGTACTTTCAGTGCTTGTTTGTTTTGGAGGGGAGGACTAAAAGCCTACTAATATCTACTAAAGATATTTGATATTTTTGACAACCACAGCATATTTACTTATTTTAAACAGACATTACTATATTTCTGAGTTCTCAGCATTTACTTTTAAGAACCAATATTTCAATTTCAAGTTTACTGAAATGACCTCTTTTTCTTCGACTGTCAAACTCTGATATGAAATGTTACTGAACTAAAGCAATACAGTAAACATTTGTGTAATGATCCAAATAATATCTGATCTTTTCCTGAGTATCTTTGAGATGCCTGGAAATACAAAGCATTCTGCAATCTCCAGTCCCAATGTTACTGCTTCCTTTGAACCATGCTGACCATCAAATGAAAACTGCTTTCATGTTCACTTTATCAAAATTTCCCAGAGCACTGAGAAACTGTATCAGGCTATGTCTGGGAGCAGATGGAAAACAACAACAAAGCAACACAATAATGGTATCATTAGGAGCCCATCAGTTTGTCACAATGTAATAAAAGTACCTTGTCAAACGTTTCAGGCTGGGCATCTCCCATTTCTCTGCCATCCAATTCAGACACTTTAATTACATTTATCAAAGGCTGTGGGATGAAAGATTCTAATGTCTGCCTCAACCACCTCAATCTCAGACTATCATATTCATTACAATGAAGATAACCTAAATATAAAGGATTAAAAAGTTTCAAATGAAGGCAGTAGAACTGTTAAATTTCTACTTTTCATCAAATAAATTTCAGAAAGAAATCAATTCATCATAATTATGCAGAAATAGGGCTCAGAGGTAAATATGATTACAGTATCTTATGCTTTAAAAACATAAATATATACATTAATATATACACAAATATATACATTTATATATATATATATATATATACACAAATATACTAATTTGGGGAGTAAAAACCTATAGAGAACTATATATTCCTAAAGATATGCTATACAACCAATACCACAGACACAGTTCTCACCCTAAAGCACTACCTCTTAAGAGTAAATAATATATTCTCTTATACATGTATTGTCTTCCACGGCACAACACCTTCATTTAAATGAAGGAAAGTAGTAGTTAACAGAAAAAAGCAAGTGCTATAGGCTCTATAGTATGAAATACATGAGTTCAAATTAAGAGCTTGGAAGACTTTGGGGAAGTTACTTAACTTCAAAATTCTCAGCTTTTTTTTTTTTTTTCCTTTTTGTCTTTTTTTCGTGACCAGTAACGGGATCGCAACCCTCAGTGTCACGCCCGCACCGCAACCGGCAACGGGATCGCAACCCTCAGTGTCGTGCCCGCACAGTGCTCAACCAGTGAGCGGACCGGTCTCTATATGGGATCCGAACCCTCGGTGGGAGCGCTTCCGCGCTCCCAAGTGCCACACTCAACCGAGTGCGCCACTGGGCCGGCCCTTTTTTTTTTTCTTTATCTGTAAAATAGGGATTGTACCTAGCGACCTTACAAAACAGTTGTTTAGAGTAAATGTGATAAGTTTAATAACATATTTAGCATAGCACTACAAAATAGTAATAACAAATGTTTATAATAATTACTAACAATTTTTGAGTCCTCATTATGTGCCAGGCATTGTTCTAAGCACTTTACACATAGTAACACATTTAATCTTCACAAATCTATGAGGTAGATATTATTATTATTTCTATTTTACTGATAAGAAAACTGAAGCCAAGAGAGTTTAAGTAACCTGCCTAGGTTCACACAGCACATAATCCAGACAGTTAAGTTCCACAGCCCTATCTACTCTTTAAGGACCATACTACACTGCTTCTCAGTACAGAGGGTATTCAGCATATGATTCTCTACACAGTGAAATAGTTGTTTTGTTTTTCCTTTACTTAAACATATACATATATATAAATATTTGATATGCTTGGGTATATATATATCTCCAACCATATTTTTAAAATGCATAAAAGTATAATGGAAGAATGTTAAAAATTACTTGAAACCCATTGTCTTCTCTTTATGTGTATACTCACATATAAAGTTTTAAATGAAGGAATTATATATTTTTGGTAGTATCATTTTTCCCCTTATTCTTCATCTTCTGCTCATCAAAGATACTTAAATTATCAACATAATATGTATATATTATATATGTGTGTGTGTTTATGTGTATGTGTTCATTAACATAGATGATCATGCTATACATACCTCTCTGCCTCCTTACTCTCCACATATGACAATACTTCGAAGGAAATACTCCAAACTTAATTGGTAGAGATATAAACAATTTTCAAAGGCTGCTAAATAGTACATGGAATAGACGTAACATCCTTTATTCAACCATTTCCCTACTGTCGTGTGGTTTAAATGTTTTACACTCTATTTTTATTCTTTTAATGGTAAGCCTAAAGATTTTAACATGTATACCTTAAGAAAAAATCTAAATTAAGTGCATTTTCACCATCTTTCCTAAAAGAAACAAGAATCTTGTAACATTCCCTCCTAACTTAGATGCTATTGTTACTGTATACTTGAGCTTTATTTGGGCTTAATATTTTTTAACCCCACAAAACATTATTGTCATTGTCTTCTATATAGCCACTGATGGTAAGATTTTTCCTGCATATTTCTCACCTTCCTTGCTCTTCATTTCTTTTGTAACTCCTATCTTACATCTTGAATGTCTTTCTTTTCTTCCTGAAGCACAACTTTCAGAATTGTTGGTGATAAACTATTAAACTGTCTCTCTCTCTAAAAATAGTATCTATTTTACTTTTACTCTTCAGGGATATTTTGTTTGAACGTATTTCTGGATTGACATTCATCTTTTCTTAGCACACAAAGCATCATTCCTCTAAATGCTGCTTTCTATTGTTATTCTCAAGTGTCAACTCTCCAACTACTTTTCTTTAAAGGTAAACTGTCCCTTCTTACTGGCTACTACTGAGATCTCTTATTTTCAGTGTTCAGTAAAAATCAACATGAAAGTTTTTGAGGTTAAGCAAATGCTTTCAAGTGAAAAGCTGGCTTCAGCACCTATAAAACCTAGGATGACTGAAAGTCCCCTGAGCTACCAAGCCAGAAAATGGGGGAGGTCTGTGGGCCTCTGCAATGCCCCCCAACACCCACAACCAGTCTCGAGGGTGGGGGATGAGGGCCTCAGCCATGTCCCCCCAACACGCACAGCCAGCCCGGCGACAACCACCGAGCCACCACAGGAAGCACCCGGAGCTATCCCAAGCCTGTCAGTGGGGGACCTTGGGCCTTGGCCACGCCCTCCCAACATCCACAGCCCATCTAGCAGCAACCACTGCCACCGGCTCTCCCAAGCTGGGGTGGTTGGGGGCCTCAGCCCTTGGCCAGGCCCCAGTGAAATGCAAAGCCAGCCCAGCTGCAACCACCAAGCCGCTAAAGCAAGTGCCCTGGCTCTCCTGAGCCAGGGTGGTTGGGGCCAAGGGTCTAGGCCATGCATCACTGACACCTGCAGCCAGCCCAGTGGTGACCAAGCAGCTGCAGGAAGCACCGCATGCTCTCCCGAGCCAGGGTGGTGGGGGGACTAGAGCCTGGGGCCTCGGCCATGCCCCCGCACAACACGCACAGCTAGCCCAGCAACGACCACCAAGCCTCAGCAAGAAGGGCCCCAGGTTCCCGAGCTGGAGTGGTGGGAAGACAGGGCTTTTGCCACACCCCCCTGAAACCTACACCCAGCCCAGCAATGACCAACTCACCACTGGAAGCCCCCCCGTCTCGCCTGTAGGAATATGGGGGATGCCACAGGCCTCAATCCTGCCCCTCTTCTTTCCTCGTTATTCTATCACATTTCCTTACCCTTTCCCATCTCCCCCTCCCTCCCAACTGCCCATTGTTCTTCAACATCCTAGAATGTAAAAAATAATATTAATAAAACTACATTTTCTTTAAAAAAAACCCCAAAAAACAGAAGACAGCTTCAGTACTCAATTTACCTTCAAGGTTCCCACTATCTTTTAGATTTGGGCCACTAAGTATTTGGAGATCATTGATGCAGGTAAGAGGATTCTGTTTTTCTTTAAATATTATACTGTACATTTTTAGTTATTTTCTACAGGAGGGTTGGTTAGGGTACCTAGTCTATCATACCATAGGAAACAGAAGTCTTAATCATTCCTATATCCTTCACCTCTACACCTACCATCCAATGTCTTGCACATAGTATGTGCACACTAAATATAGCTGACTTGATTTGAAATATGGCATTATAATAAGGAATATTTAAATCACTACAACTGAAAATCAGGGGAGCTTTTCATTAAACTGTAGCTTTGTTAAGATTTTCAATTCAGCATTTTAAAATAGCTCCTGGCTGAGTTATAGCTTCATACTACATTATTGTCTTGCTTAGATGTAGATTTTATTTGAAATGGTCTTAAGTTGGCTGAACTTTTTAAAATATTTGATATAAGGTGTTACAATGCAAGTTTCACACATATATTAAAATTTAGTATACTGAGACAATTTCATGCTTAAATTGTCAAAAACAAGCCAAATCTTGGTATTTTTTTCATCTACGCAGGAAAAGGGGAAAAATTCCTGAAAAGTCATTGAGGATTAAGTATCTGTACATGGCAGCCTTTGGTCCAATGAAAGGAAATAAAACTGGTAGTTTCACTCATTCGTTTATTTTAGTATACCTAAGTTAGAAAAAAAACAATCCTGCCTTATTTCTAGTTCTGCCAATTATTTTTTGGAGCTATAAGCTGTAACTATGATTGTTTTCTATGTTCCCTTCAATGTATACACTGGAATAATGATACTGTCTTATATACTAAAAGTGCTGTGAAGGCTCATGGTAAAGTTCTTTGAGCTACCCAAGAGCAATGTTATAAATTCACAAATGAACAAAATCGTGACAACTAATTTGTTAAAACTTGGTTGACATTAGATTAAAACACACTTGAAAGTACAATCACTTTAAGGTTCTGGTTTACTAAGCTGCTGCAGACACAAAGATAAATAAGTGTCTGTCCTTATTCTCTAGAAGCTGTCTAACACAGGATGCTAGACAAGTCAGGAGTTGAGTGTGACTGGGAGACCATGGAATAGAGTCAACAGCACTATAGTGACAACTTGAGTTCAGTCCCAGCCACTTACCTTAGGCAATTTAGTTAACTTCTCTTTGTCTCAGTTTGATATTTAAAATTGGGATAATACCCAACTCACAGTGCTGCAGAGTTAGATGAGATTATGTACACCAGTGACAGTCATACTATATTCCTCAGAGCCCTAACACTCCACAAAGATTTTTACATGGAGATATAAGATGTTGGAAGCAGACTACTGAAAAATGTTTGAAAAACACAGATTTATGCAATGTGATTAACAAAGTCTTGGCACAAAGTATTCTAAAACAGTTATTATTTTTATTACTACCACAAAGAAGATGTACCTAATGCAGGGAGTTTGGGGAAAGCTTTCCAAAAAAGTTGATTCCTGAGGTAAACCCTGAAGGATGGAAAGGAGTTAGGAGGGGAAGAGAAAGCAGAAAGTGGTATCTGTAGAATGCTCAAAGAGGCCTAGAGATAGAAGGAATAGAAAGGAGGACAAAAGCAATTCAACAAAGAAAGGAGTCTTTCTAATCTTCTCAACTACCAAAGGCCAATCAGATATCAAAAAGTTACCACTGACAGCAAAGAGAATTTCATGTCCAGAGGGACACAGCCTTCAGCAAGAATGCTGACCAATCCACTCCACCAAGCTAGGCCATCCGCAGTTAAACTGTATGTTAAGGCTTTTCCATTTAGAGCCAGAATTGTTTGTTCTTTGTCTGTCAAGACCGGGACATAACAAAGACTGCGTTGGAAAAAAAAACAACGGTCAGTCCATCACTGTGTCAACAGGTGAGAACAGCTGGATCAAAAGAAAATGAGACTAATTTTTTTAATTATCCTAAAACACGAACTTTTTAATCATTCAAAGCTGTTTGCCTCTTGGCCCAGCTTAAAGGCCTGTACTGATCTAAAAAGAAATTTGGTATATAAATGCTCACTTAGTGCAGCCATCATTTTAAGTTTTGCTTATAAAAGCTTTGATTAGCATTGCTTCAGCATCCCAAATTCAAGCACTGTAGCTAACCTAATTTGGGCTTTAAGCATCAGCATGAAGACATCTGTACTCTTTAGTAAACCATTATCATTAGTCCTACTTAGATGAAAAGCTACTTTACTTGGAACACTGCCTGTAGTTCATTGCCCTTGATGTAAGAACAGGAAAATTCTTTCCCACTTCAAACTTCTAGAATATATCAGTTTGTCTTTGGGTTTCTAATCAAATCAACTTCCCTACCATAAAAGTGTACAATATTTATAGCCCATTAATAGGGATAATTTAGGATTAAAATGCTCTCCCTTCAAAATGGTACCCAAATTTGACATTTGTCTTCCATCTTTTTCAATATTAAAAATTCTACACCCAGAATTAATGAGTATAAGTCTTGTAACAGCCAATATAGGAATACTGCCAAAGAACACAGAAAGAATGGAAATAAAAACAAATATTCTTTATAACATGAGTCCATAAAACTTCTGCTCAAATTATAAAAATAATAAGCTAATATTATAATCTCTTTTGTTGTGATTTCTTACACTAAAATACCGCATGCTTCAATAATAATTTTGACCAGAATTGGAAAACATACAGTATATTCTCTCCTAAATATACAGTTAACTGATACATTTGTCTGAAAGCCTAGGTACACCTGGATTTACATTTCTCATAAAAAAATATTTATATAGATTTCAAGAGGGAATGTTCTCAACTTTCTAAGGAATAGACAGGCTTGGATAGTTTCAAAAGAATCAATTTTCAGATCGTCAACTTCCCAAAAGAAGGAAAATACCTACAGTGGGAAATCTTTCACATGGCCCTTCAACAAGTTTACAAATTAATAGCAAGCTTCAGAAGATCCAGAAATTGTATTAAGGCAACTTATGCCCAGGTGCAGAAACCTCCAAAACTTCAAACAAGGGCAGTTCAACACACTGGTGTCTTGGCTGAGAAAGTGAGTGAGTCAAACAATTGGCAATACTGCTTTTTGTACATGAGACGATTGCAAATCCTTTGCTTTTAACAAACTAAAAAACAAACTTTAAGTGTGCTTACCTAATAGATCATTAAAATAATGCTTAATGAAAGATCTGTATCTGATTTGGGTCTCTAAAAGCAGGAATTTAAAGAATCAGTGAAACCACTTTAACACAATTCCTACCGTTTACACGTTCTTATCTGTGTGAAAAACAGTATGTGTATCCATAAAAACAAAATTATCAAACAAAAACCAGACAGAATTGATGCTGAACTCTGCTTCATCTAGCAGTAATATTCATCCACCTAAATAAATTAATTTTTAAAAGTACCATCCATCTCATTAAGAAAATAATTTACAGTGGATGTTGACCTATTTCTTTTAACAAATATGAATAGAAGACTCTGAAGTATGAAAGTAAAAAATAAAACCTCTGTCATTGGCTTATCAATGTTCATATTATCCTACAGATTTGTGTTCACAACGTGTTGCAGTTTTGTTCCCAATTACCAGTTAGGGTTAAATAGGTTGAAATGATGTTATTTACACTGATTTCCTCAGCTAAAATTTCCATTTTTCTCCAAAGTATCCCAATTTTCAGGCTTCTTAAGCTTGCAAACTCAATCGTACATTCCTCCCATATACTTTCAAAGTACTTTGTAACACACAGATATTAAAAAGTTGTCAACAACTGAAAGAAAAACACACTACCTGGACAAGCACACTGCAGCAGAGCTACTGATTTGCCCCCAGGAGCAGCACACAAATCCAGAACCTTCTCCCCATCCCTTAATTCCAGAGCTAGTACTGGGAGAAGAGAGGCAGCATTTAGAAGATAATATTTTTTCAGGTTTCCAGTCTGATGCCTTTCTGAAGGCATTCGGTCTGGAGTTCTGCTAAGGTAACACTTCATTGATTGAGAACAGTAAGGTAAAGATCCTTGAAAAAGTGTGTGATAACCCTTCAAATGTAAATCCTTTTCCAGTTCAAAAGGATAATTGAATCGGTTAAGCAGGACAGCATACTGCCAGCATGATGGAGATATTAGTATATCCCTAGAAACAGAAAAAGAGAAAAAAAAAGGAACATTAATATTACACAGACCAATACAATTTTATATTACTAATTGGGTGAAGGTGGTACTACTTTTACATTTCACTTACCTGTGATCTTCAGAGACTGGATCAGTATACCTGACTATTCCTTTCACCTCATGTGGCTCTGATATGGTTCAACCCAGCACTGTTATGATCCTACCTTTACTTAAAAACTTGATATTTTGTTCATCATAGCTTTTAAAAAAATAATTTTGATCAGTAAAATATATTATGATTACTGAGTTTTGGGGGGTCCCCTAAATTCTGCACTGAAGGGGTATGCATCACTTGCCTCAGCCTCATCCACACTGCATCCATCCTGCCAAAAAAACATGGCCTGCCTTTACGTAACTCTGAATTTTTGTCCATCACTCTTTGCACAAGGAAGTGTTTTTCTTGGAGACAAAATTTAAAACAAGAGACTATTAATATTGGAGGGGAAAATACTATTATTTAAAGGGTGTTTGAAGAAATGATTATTGAGGTTTTCCCCTGATGAAGATAAAAGGTAAGGAAAGCTTATTACACCGAACTCTACAGTAACGGAGTTAATGAGGTGATGAGTGGCTCAGATGATACAAAACCAAAGATGATTTTAAAATCACTTATGGACTGATGGTGCAGGCTTTTCCCCCAACACTTTTACCTTCCTAAATTTGTATTCAGTCCAACAGTTAGATCTCTTGACAATCATAAGCTCACATCAACTGACAGATGATACAGCAGGAAATTTTAATTTATTTACTAGCTGACCTTTCTAGCTGAGTTATTTGGGAGCCTCATTAACTATGGTCAATTAAATAAATTCCAGCTGCTACTCACCCTGGAGTCACCTATGTGAGGAATGGCTGGATTGAAATGTAACACCTGTGACTCGAAGTGTGCCATGTGAATTTCAATTTAGGGCTAATTCATGAAACTGCTTTCTCCTTTCACTGCCTCTTACTATGGTATGTCATAGGAGCCTGTCATATCTGTTTCAGTTGTTTTGGAAAATGATACCCTCTTTCCTTAAGAGGTTTGCAAAGTTTAGAATGCATCAAGGGTCTGTAAAAAACTTCTTGGCGCCACCTGGGGTTTCTGATTCCATAGGTCTGAGGTAGGGCCTGAAATTTGCATTTCTAAGAAGTTTTCAAGTGATACTCATGCTGCTGATCCCCAGGACCACAATTTGGGAATTACCACTTTAAAATGGATCCCAAAGAGAAATCTGTAAATGTCACTTAATAAATCTTATAGCAGTCCCTACTAATCTTACCCTCCAAACTGGATGAAAACCTCTCCAGTGTTATGAGTCATGAGTAACAGCAATGGTCAGAAACATAATCTAATTATACAGATTAGAGTGGCATGGCTTACATCTTATGTCCACCCCTTAGCTAACAAAGGGTAGGACACTTTCAATTGGTTAATATCATACAGGGCAAATCTCTATTTGCTATCTCTCTAGAATTGTCAAAGCTATTCTTGAATGTTTAATTCTTCCAAATAAATATTAGAATCAATTGGTCGATTAAAAATAATTTATACAATATTAGTGTATATATAGAGATATAGTAACCTTGACTATATTATATTAAACGATTAAAGTTAGAGAGAATTAACATCTTTATTGTATTCAGTCTTTCCTGTTCTTCAGTAAAGGTTACTAATCTTCTATACTTTCTTTGAAGCTTATTGTTAAAAAGAATTGTTAGTTTAGGAACAGTATTGATTTTTGTATATTGTCCAATATGTTAAATCTTTAAGGATAAGTAGAAATTAGTCACAGGGAGAAAAGACAAAGGAGATTCCAGGGCAAAGGCAATAGCACACGTACAGGCACACAGGTGTGATGAAGAACAGTGCATTTGGGGAACTATTAGTCTAATGTGGCTCGTTGCAAAAGATTATATGGACCAAGTATAATATGATCAACTTTAAATTTTTTTTCTTGTAAGTATGGAAAGCCATTGAAAGACTTTGGGGGGCGGGGGAGGGGGAGAGTGCAATCAGATTTAAAAACATGTACTTATGGCAGAGTAAGGAAGAAATCTTTGGAAATTATTCTCATTCAATAATACCTAGACAAAATAATGCCTTGACTAAAACAAATAAAATTTCTGATCCCTCCTGACCTACACGCAGCTCTACTGAACTATCTGAGTTTCCTGGAACAAGTTTCTTTACCCTTTATTAGTCTTGGCATAAACTGCTACCTCTGCCTAGAATGACCTTTCCTCTCTCACCCACCTGTACTCCCCTCGGGGGTTTTATTCTCCCAAAAAAGCCTTTCCACCTACCACCCAGTCTACCTGCTGCACCTTAACCCTGATATTATTATTAATAAAGTTACTGGTTGGATGTTTATAATGTTCACTTTGCATGCTTACCTCATTTAAGCATCACAACAACTTTGAGAGGCAGCTATCACCCCCATTTTAGACCTTAGATTACTGAGGCTTTCAGAGATTTAGCAACCTACCCAAGGTCATGTCACTAGTAACACAAGTATCTGATTCAAAATCAGGCCAGCTTTAAAGCCTAACAGGAGTGATTCCCAAAGTGTGAGACCCTGATACTGCAGCACTAGTGCACACAAGGGAGAGGGGAAGAGAATTTCCATCCCAACCCTCACTTAGTGCGAGTAGCCCTGACCTACTTGAAGCAGATTGTCTCTAACAATGGAAATATCTTGTGATACTTTGCCTATAGGACCAACTGCAACAGGACCAACTCAAAAAAGGGACTGCTAAGGCTGCTCAGGCCGGTGATTCCCAGACCTAAGAAAGCAAAGCCGTGTATGAATGTGGGTCTTACAGCTTCCCCTGCACCCACCTGCCACTGATCTTCATTCTCCTCCCCACAACACACACACACACTCTGCACTGGGTGGGCTGCTACCTTGGGACTGGAAGGGCAGTGGCTACTGGAGTCCAAAGCTTTGAGCATGGAGAAGTAGCCCAGCAGGCAACAGACGGAGAGCATACATTAGAAGACTCAAGAAGACAGTGGCCAGGAGCCACACTCCAGGCCTCCTCCCAAGATTCTTGATTAGTCTGAAGCTGTTCCATTTACGGGTCTTCAAGGCCGCAGAAGTCACGTACATCAGCAGCCAGCAGAACTGAGGCCCACAAGGTCAGTGACCTGCAAATATTTTGCTAGTACATCCACTAATGTCATTTTGGAACAAAAACTATCTACCCTTTGACACATTTTAAGTTGACATCAAAATCTTCACCATATGTTTAAGGATGCAATTTCCAACATACTATAAAAATTGACATTTTAAATACAAATTATGTCACTTCTTAAAGTGTATCCAATGGAATCTAAACAGAGTGATTTTTGATACCCATCATTGTCCATTTAAAAATTCATGGACTGATTCTTCTTTAACAGAATTTTTGCACTGTTCCTTTTCCTCTTTTTATTTATATTCTACATCATATAACTTTATCTTAATATATTTTTATGCTTGAAGTCTTTTTTTTTTTAATAACTCTTATTCTTCTCTGGCATGTACACACAGACACATAGACACACACACACACACATTAAATTTGTTTTTCCTATGGTCTTAAATCCCTAAGTGATAAAATGGTAATTTCTGGATTAAGTTATCAATAACATTATTAGTACAAAATCAATCAAAACAATTTATAAAATTGATAATTATTAAACACAAAGAGTAAAAATTGATAAGAAATAGATCTCTTAATGAAATGAGCTTTTGTTTCCATATATCCATAGAGGAATATAATTTCTTACCAGAATGAGTCAGGGTTCAACATCAATTTTATTCCTATTTTGTGTTTTTCTAAGTGCTGAGATAAACCTTCACTTAAATAAATAGATGAGAATTAAATATATTTTGTTATATTGATGTCTCCTACTTCTTTCAATTCTTTTTGAGTTATATGCAAAAATTACTTAGTGACTGTAGTGGATTATTATGTCCACCCAAAACTTACTGAAGCTTGAATTGTGTCCTCCAATTTTTATGTATTAGAAACTTGGCCCCCACCGTGACCGTTAAGAGGGTGGGAAATCCTTTTGTGGTAACTGAAAGATAGGACCTTGAAGAGGTGATTGGACTGTAGAACTGTGCATTGGAGAATAAATTAATAATGGTGGTCCAGGGCATGGTTCTGAGGGCTTTAAAAAGAGAGTGAATGAGAAGGTTACTGTCTGTTCTCTTTGCTCTCTCTGCTTCCATGACCTTGCAAGGTGAGACCACTTGGTCACTATTGCCACCACCAGATGAACTTCGGACTTCCCAGACTCAGAAACTGTAAGCAATAAATGTCGTTTTTTTCTTTACAAATTGCCCAGTTTCGGGCATTTTGTTAGAAGCAACAGAAATAGACTAATACAGTAACCTATCATCAAAAATATTTTAAATAATTGTTAGCTAACAATTCAATTGAGGCTCCTTTACTTTTGTTGAAAGCAAAACTTGGAAACCACTTAACTTGTTAAAGAATTTGTTACTCAGGAGTCATTCACTTTCTTACACTGAAATTCCAACAGTCTCCAGAAGGTGGAGGTTTTGACAACCTGGAAGAATGCAGTACAGAAGTCAGGATGGTGTAAGTATGCCTTTCTTTGCAAAATGGGAGAAGGAAAATTGGAGAAAGGCAGGATGGAAAAGGAGAGTAAGTAACCGCTTAGGTACAGAGGGGAGAAGAGCAATTATCTGAAAGAGCATACATGAAAGTTGAGGATCTGGAAGTTGATTGCTGTAACTTGCCTGTGCCTGCAAATCCTTTAGAAAGTTTTTCATTGTTGCTCCTACCTCCAACATGCTGTCAGTATTGTCTTCTTGCCAACATTCACTCATTCTCTAAATATATACTGTGCATTGACTTTATGCTAGTCACATCTATCTACTGATGATGATACAAAATTAGCTTATATACAAACTTCTAAGAAACAAAAGATGAATATTAAAACTAATTAAAAGACAAATATTAAGT